TCTTGGCCCGAATTAAGCTTAATTCGGGCCGAAAATTGTAATTTCACCCCTGCGCGTTATTTCGAGATTTTACGGTACAACCTTTGTTAGAACTTGAAAAAAGGTTATTAATGAGTCGGTCATTTTAGTAATAAAATCGTTCTAACGGATCAGTAAATCTGTCAAAGATTTTAATAATTTCAAATATGCACGAATGTAAATATAGCCAAACATTGTTATAGTCACTCTGACATTCACAACCTTGATATATATTTTTTTTGCAATCATTAATTTGGTAGATACAATTCAAAAAAATAAAAAATAAAAAATAAATTGGGCATCCTTAAATTGTTCGCATCATAAAGATTATTTATAATTGATTACCATTAGCAATTGGTAATCTTTTTTTATATGATTGACCACCTCCGACTGGTAATTTTTTATATTTTTCTGTATCGACCTTCTCATTGTTAATAAACCATAAATATGCTGCCTTGTCGCCTGCTGACTTTGTTAATTCGGGATTTCTGGACTTCTTTTTAAAAAGTTGTTCTCGAAGTTTCATGTTCTTCAAAATATATTTTTTAAGATAGTTTTTTGACTTTAATTGAGGGAAATCTGGTAGATGACGTGCCAATTGTTTACTAGTCTGAGGTCCATTTTTTGTTAGAAGGTGAAGAACTACTGCAGTCGGCTTTGGAGTGAACATTTTTTAAGTTTTAATGTCGGGAAGTACGCATGATAATCTTATCGAAGTTTTCAGGTCACACAGATCTTGTCCTTTATCTGTTATATAAAGCAATGTTGTTAATCTTCCTAGTGGCCAGTGGGCTCCCAGTGACAACACTGATATTCGTTATTGGTCGTAATTTTCTTTTACTTAAACCTTCCGTTACGAAAATTTTACAATAAAAAAATGGGGCAACTGCGCTTATTTAAAAATCCAATTCTTATTAAAACCATAAGTGAATCCACGATTACCGAAAAAGAAGCATTACGTTCCATAAAAAACTATACATCAAGTAGTGCTATAAGTAGTTTACCACAAAAAAAATTAACGGATTTACAAAATTTACAGGATCATTTAGCTTCAAAAACTGGATTTGTCTCCGATCCTGTTAAGAGGAAACATGATTCTATAGAAAGCGTTGTAAGCAAATTAATTGAAGGATAGATATGATAGGGTAAGGTAGATTTGATAAGCTTTTTTATTTTTAATAATATTGGCAGTTAGTGTTTATTATTCATTTACCTATCTTTAGGGTTGCATTACTACTTAGTTTGGGTTTGAGAATCAGCATTTCTACTTCATGACCAAAACCCAAATATATATCCCATTTCAGTAAATTTACATACATTTGATGTACTATTAATTAAAACTTTAAATTATTCAAAACATTTAAATCTTTTAATCAGATATATCCAGGTTCAAATACTGATAATTTAAAGATCAAACTTAATTTAGACCTAAAAAATATGATTAAAATTGGATTAGATAAATTGATTATGTATATAATATTGATCATGCATCGATATTTATCAATGTTATCCGGCAATTCATGATCATAATTCTCAAGTCATCATTGCTAACTGAGTTTAACTCGAATAAACATGATTACCTTGTAACACATGAAAAAAATAACAAAAAGAAAATTTTTCATGATCATAAGAGTTTGCCGGATAACAGATAATACCAGGAACTAAAGGTAAGGCATCACAACCGATTCTGTTCTAAAATTTCCCCGTCTGGCCATCGATTTAAATCATGGTTTTTATTTTGTGGTATCATACATGCAATTTATGTTTCTTCAAGGTTCTTATCAATTTGTGTATTATATATATGTAACACACAAACTTTCTATTTTTATACAAGTGTGGACTTTTTACTTTTATTAAACTACTTGATTTCGCTTTCTTGATTGAAATTCGCACAAAAAAAGCGAGCCTTGCTGTATAATGACTTTATCAACATCATAATGGCAAAATAATATCAATAATGAAGTGAACAAAATGTTACAATATGTAGAGTAGTTAGAAGAAAGGTGAGACTTAAGGTAAAATTGTGTTTTGATACTTTTGTTTAGTGTGCCAAGACTGGCTTAGACACTCATTTCTTGGTCAGATTGATCCGAGTTAATCAAAACTTCCTTGGATGATTTCATAAGGTGCAGAATTTAAACGACCCCTATGCTTTGGGATGAGTCTCAACTAGTGATGCAGGCGGAACTTCAAGCATTGGGATAAGCCGTGCCGTAACTGAGTTATAACCAGTTCTAACTTTTTGCTTTAAATTACGGTATGCTATAACTTGCGTATTTACTAATATAATTGTTTATGGTATAACTTTTATATGTGCCGTAACTCAATTTTATATGCCGTAACTTGCCGTA